GTGAAAAATCGCGATTCTGACATGAAAATATTAAAAATTTATAATTCAGATAAAGTAAATACTTTGTTTTTAATTTGTACCATTCAGAAAATGCAACTTTTGTATTTTAATTTACTTAATTTTTCGAATTCTTAGGTTGCTAGGTTTATATACGTAAAGGAAACAATAAATGTTCCGTTGTCACATCTGTATGTGTGTGTGTGAATGTGCGAAAGCGAAGGGTTAGGTGGTGTAACCAACCGGACGTTGGTTTTGGCGCCACGTGGAACGGTTTGCCGCGCGAGCGAGCGGAAACGAGCAGGCATACTAGATCGATCAGTCTCTCGGGCGTGAGCTCTCTAGAGAAATACGCGTAATTTCAACGAATTTCTAATTGTCTCGCGACTTTAAACCGCCGCATTAGGGCAAGTATCTGCGATAGCAATATCGCGTTCAGCAACGGGTGTCTTTTTTTTTTCTCTTAATCAGTAATTTAGCTTTACAAACCACATCTTTTCGTGAACGGCTCCTTGGCCGTTCATCTTTGTATTGTAGCCCTTAACGACAAAACGCATCAAAATTTGTATCGTTGCTTGCCGGCGACGAAGCTTCGGGGAAGGTGCATTAGCACCTATCTAATTGGTAAACCAATCAACATTAGCAACGTATCAAGTATTTGTGAGTGAGTGTGTAGGAGCTCCGTCGCGGTTTTCTGCCTATCGTTTCAAACGCCGACCACGTGGTCGGCCATCTTGTTCCCTTTGTCTAAGTACATGTGCACATGAAATCCCTCGACCGGTACGTGCGTGCGCTCACTTTGCCATCAGTTGTTTTTGCGATCATTCCAGTGTTTTCTTTATGTAAGAATTCAATTGTAGCATGGTTTATGGAATCATCTCGTCTTTCTCAATCTGGTATTGAATGCAATAAATTGGGTTTTTTTATCCCTTCTAAGACTTTTTTCCCATTACGTACGTGTAAATTGATTTACCATTCCTTCATTCCTTTCTAAAATTTTACCACTGTTGTATAACAAATCGAGTGGTTTGCGATTTTCACTCAACCAATAAAAATAATAGTAACAAAAATACCATCGGCGGTATTTTTCAATTCCTTCAAATAAGAACAATTAATTTCAGTTTCTATAGGAGTATAAATAGAAATGTTGCATTTTCTGAAGAATATAGTACAAGTTGAAAACAAGCTATTTACTTTATCTAAATTATAAATTTTCAATATTTTTCTACCAGAATGGCGATTTTCCGCGTAAGCTTCTGACCTAAAGATATATCATGATAAAATTGATTTTTGTATTTGGGCAAGTGACAATAAAATTTAAAAAATTAAGAATGATCTTCAAATTCAATAGCAATCTAAACTATGCATATAAGAACACAAAAACTTGGTCCCTATTTTCTTGAACAACTGTTCTGAAAAGAAATATATCGTACAATCCAACAGCCAACAATTTTTGAGTGGTTCTATTATTTATTATTATTTATTTATTATTTTATTATTTATATATTTATTTATTATTTTATTATTTATATATTTATTTATTATTTTATTATTTATATATTTATTTATTATTTTATTATTTATATATTTATTTATTATTTTATTATTTATATATTTATTTATTATTTATTTATTATTTTATTATTTATATATTTTGCAACGGTAGTCGATTCAATTAATCGAACCGTTCGCGATTCTGATTTTCGCGCGTTAGTTCTAAGAATTCAGAGAGAGAGGGGGCGCGCAATCTTTCAAATTAGCAGTTACGTCTCAGCTGTTGTGACAAGTAGATATCGCCGAAGTTATTTGCACTGTTTTTTCTCGCCGACTAATAGTTACTGGTCCATAATAATTACGTGCGTGAGTGCAACAACGAGACCTACAGATTGCAGCGTTTTGGTAGCAGCAGATTTGCAGCTGATAGGTGGTACGAGGCAGCACAGCTGATAACCTAGGACCGGAGGCAATTGATATTTTGCTGACATCAACAATTACGGCTGATCACCGTAATTGCACCGCAGGGTAGGTGCACCTCCCTTTATTATCGCGTGTCTAAATATATTTATTATTTTGTTCAGCCGCGTTAGCGTTGATAATTTTGTATTCGCGCCGAGCGTTAGATCGCGCCAATTTTCGTATCTTCTCTCTCTCTCTCTTTCTCACCGAAAGTTATTTAATTGTAAATCCTGTTCGCGTGCGTCAGTCTTTCGGCCCGATAAAGACTGTAGAGATTTTTATTAATAAAATCTATTAAAATTATTCGCCAATTTCGTCATATAATTTTTCCTAATAGATTAAACAATTGAAATAGGCTTAAGTTTTAATCCGATCATAGCTAGGGGATTAAGTGGATTAGGAGCAAAGTCGATTACACTTAAAACTCATCGTGTGTCACAGGGCACGTGACTTAAGATGAGTTCAACTCCGCTTGATCGAAGACAACCAAGTTAAGTCAGCTGACGTTAAGGCGAATACACGTATTAACATACGTGTTAACGGAGCGGCGGTTTGCTCTGCATCGTGGGAGTTTGCTCTTATATAAATTTCTCATTTTGCAGGTTTATCCCCCCGTTACAATTTATTTATTATTTATTTATTCGTTGTGATTTATATGAAGTGCTGACCGACTCTTTTTTTTTTGTTTGACAACATTTTATAAAGTACAATTTACATGATGTTGTTAGAAGTGCAAGAAATCTCTGGACTTATCAAAACACTTTACGTGGAGATCCACATGACAATATAAGTGGATTTTCATTGCATATGGAAAATGAGGTATTTAAGGATTATAGGAATGTAGGAATATATTACTTTTCAGCCAGTAATTGCTACATAAGAAAATTATTAATCTTTCTTCTGACTGTGTATAGATAAAGTTTATGTAACCAAAATGCAACTTGTCTATTGGCAAAAGATCAGAGTATACTCCTAACAATATTAAACAAAAGTTTTAATATTATCAGTGGGATCCTTTCAAGATCACGTGACGTGTACGAGTTGAAACCGGAATGTTTATGTCAAAACTCGTTTTTTCACGAATACTTCAAGAGAATCAATATGGATTAATCAATTACTGATTATAAAATATATTCCATTATTGTTTTCACCGTCACATTATATGACTTATTTTTTTTATAATGCATAATTTACATGTTAGAATAATAGAAAGTCACATGGTTCATAAGGTAATATTTTTAACTAACAAATCACTTCTTAAACATAGATCACTCATGATTATAGACTGATTTATTGAAATGTTGGTAATTTGGATGAAATTATACACTATTTATTTTGTACATAATGCTACTGTTATGTCTAGACGAGGAGATGTTATGGCTAGACGTATTAATGTTTAAAATACTGTCGCGTTGGTAAAGGTTGGATGTTAGTCAAGATTAAGCGAAGGTTGGTTAAAGGGATAGCGTCTTTATTATATTAATTAATTAAGTTACAAGCTACAACACCTGGAATTTAAGATTTCCGCATGAAATATATTTAGATACGACGACTTTTCACAAAATGGTTATAATCATTTACCTCGCAATAAATAACTTTTTTACAAGTATTTTCAGTATAAGTCTCAGTACATTTCATTGTTAAGATTTCAGAAGTCAGTGATTTAGTCTTAACCCATTAAGTCCCAAACGCACAAAATTTTAACGTTGACTTTGACCGCGCATCATTTTAAAATAAACGAGGGACTTTGAACTCAAGGCACATATACTTATGTTTTTGAGGTCGCTCTTTCGATTAGCGGTCTCGAAAATTCCGAAAAATAACGTTTAACCTATTATTTTTCAACAAATATAAAAAAAAATGCACTTTTTGAACTCGGATTTTTTTTTCAAACCTAATTTTAGCAATGTTCCGAATGTCTAGGCAACTTCTAATACAGATAAAAGGTGTTCCCGATACTTGCACTTCAATAATATGCATCGAAACATTTCGATATATAGTGTTATCCAATTCAAAATGGCGTCCGAAAGCCCAATTTTTGTTTTAAATTCCACAGATTCTTTTCTCGAAAACTATAGACTTTCATAAAAATTTCCTAAGAATAAAAATGTTTTAGATTTAGTCAAAGAATATACTCAATTTTTTTCAGATTGATCCGGTACGATTTTGGATTTTTCAAAAAGTCAAAAAATCGAAATTTCGAAAAACGTCCTTTAAAAATCTGAAAAAAATTGAGATCATTCTTTGATGAATTCTAAAACATTTTTGTTCTTTCCAAAATTTTATAAAAGTTTATAGTTTTTGAGATAAAATTCTGTAAAAATTTTTTGTCGTAAACGTCCCTTTGCCTTTATTTATAATAAAGTTTCCCGATTCTTACCGCGAGGAGGTGGACGATTGAGAGAATCATGTTTTCTTTTTTTTTTTTAATATTTTTTTTGTTTTTTTTAATTTTATTTATTTTGTTTATTTTTCAATTTTATATTTTTTAGAGAAAAAAACGCTAATCATTAGTATGATTCTTTTCAAAGCATGGTTGACAATAATACGAGGAACACGTATTACAAAATTTTCTTGTTCGTGTCTTGCAGGTTTCAATACTACACTTTCTTGGCAAGAAATTTTTTTCTATTGTATGCTTACTTCGTTTTTTGGATTTGTTCAAATACGTTTTACTCACACTTATAGCAAAATCTTTTGTACTCATTGGAGCTTTCTTACCTTTAGTGCAGATATTATATAATACGTTAGCATTGACGAGAGAAGTTTGTATAATTCTTAAAAAGATTACCCATATCCATTTCTTAGACCTTATTATAGGTTGTATGATATTACAACGTTGATCGTGCAAATTAACGCCGCCCATAAATTCATTATAATTTAGAAATGCTCTGGGAAAATCGAGATCTTTCTTTTGCTTTTTACCTTTTTGGCGACGTTTCACAGCACCTAGTGGTGTTATTCCAGCAGCAGTGGTTAAAACAAAGATAGGTTTAGAGTCCATTACGGTTATGAAATTCATGCCGCTATGTTTATCATGTTGAACGTCATACTTTCCTCATTGTATTTTTAATAGCAACTCGGTTTTCTCTAACGGTACCCGTAGCGTGTAATCCATATTTGTTCAAATGAACAAGAAGATCTGGACTCGTAAATAAATTATCGAAATATATGTGTAATCGATCTCGGTTACGCAGATGTACTGTATTTATGACAACTTGAAGCAGATTTATTACTACGTGACTACCAAGGGCACAATTAGATAATTTATCATCCTTATTAGAAGATTTCCTACAATATATTTCAAAATCGAAGAGGTAGCCACTGGCACTACAAAGAGCCCACAATTTTATTCCGAATCTTATTGGGTTTCCCCTTATGAATTGCTTCAAAACCGATCTGCCGAAAAATTTCACCATCATCTCGTCTATCGACAATGCCGTTTCAAAAATTCCAAATCTCATCAAATTTTGTCTAAAAATGTTTACAAATTTTCTTACGCGATAAATTCTATTATTATTATTTTGATCTTGAAGCTCGTGGAATTTAATTTTGGATTTGATATCATAAAATTTGTTACGGCTCATTGCAGACGCCACCAGTTCACTTCTCAAGCATGGATCTAAGGACCAATAATCCTTCTGAGATAGTCTTTTATTATACATTGTAAAAATAATAATACCTATAAATATTTCTAGATCGGTAACTGTGATATCATAATCATTTAGTTTTGAGCATTTGACAATGTAAGATTTAAGTTCGAGTGAAAAGTAGTATTCAAATAATTCTGTCGGAGTACTTTTCAATATAGCAGACACATTATTTTTACTAAGGAAAAGCTCATTTGATAAAGTATTATTGTGACTATATTCTCCTTTGATCCACTCATACTTGTGATTATCTTCCAATTTTTTTTGTGAACTGGTATAACTGTCATACACATTATTATGAGATTGAACAGTAAAGTTAGAATCGCAATTATCCATTATCTCAGAAGAATCAAATTTAGAGTTATCATCATCCTCATAAATATTGGATGCATCTGAATCGGAATGTTCACAGTCCGTAAAGTCAATAGATGGAATAATGCTTCCGTTCACGAAATATTCGTGCTCATCATACTCGACTGAATTGAATTGTAAGTTATTTGGCCGATGTTGATTGGCAGGTGCTGTATTAGATTTCCTTTTAGACATTATGTTCTCTGTTTTATATAAAAATTATTAGAGATTTTATTCAAATTGAAATGAACAAAAAATTACGCTCAAGTTTATGACAGGAATTTACTTTGATTTGAATAGTGGCAGTGCGTTGTTAAATTCTAAAACGTAGCGACTGTTTTTTGGTTCTTGCATAAAGGTAATTGTGCAGTTTGATAGAAACGCAATTACTGCGTAGGAAAATAATACATGTACAACCTACACCTATAAACTATATTCTAATTCCTTGACAAACTTCGTAAAATTAATCTCCATTCGATATGTTGAAGTCACTGATATGTAAAGTTTTCTTTTCGAATTTTTATTCAAATTTTATCTCAAAAACTATAAACTTTTATAAAATTTTGGAAAGAACAAAAATGTTTTAGAATTCATCAAAGAATGATCTCAATTTTTTTCAGATTTTTAAAGGACGTTTTTCGAAATTTCGATTTTTTGACTTTTTGAAAAATCCAAAATCGTACCGGATCAATCTGAAAAAAATTGAGTATATTCTTTGACTAAATCTAAAACATTTTTATTCTTAGGAAATTTTTATGAAAGTCTATAGTTTTCGAGAAAAGAATCTGTGGAATTTAAAACAAAAATTGGGCTTTCGGACGCCATTTTGAATTGGATAACACTATATATCGAAATGTTTCGATGCATATTATTGAAGTGCAAGTATCGGGAACACCTTTTATCTGTATTAGAAGTTGCCTAGACATTCGGAACATTGCTAAAATTAGGTTTGAAAAAAAAATCCGAGTTCAAAAAGTGCATTTTTTTTTATATTTGTTGAAAAATAATAGGTTAAACGTTATTTTTCGGAATTTTCGACACCGCTAATCGAAAGAGCGACCTCAAAAACATAAGTATATGTGCCTTGAGTTCAAAGTCCCTCGTTTATTTTAAAATGATGCGCGGTCAAAGTCAACGTTAAAATTTTGTGCGTTTGGGACTTAATGGGTTAAGACTAAATCACTGACTTCTGAAATCTTAACAATGAAATGTACTGAGACTTATACTGAAAATACTTGTAAAAAAGTTATTCATTGCGAGGTAAATGATTATAACCATTTTGTGAAAAGTCGTCGTACCTAAATATATTTCATGCGGAAATCTTAAATTCGAGGTGTTGTAGCTTGTAACTTAATTAATTAAACTCAATTCATTGTTGAAATAATATGAAATGGAAAAGGAAAACTTGTGCATTATTCATAGGTTGTACCAGAGTCGTCTACATAAAACTTGATATATTCCTAACTTAATTATCGAGTGAAAACTATCCAATTAATTAATTGTTCGGAAATTGTGTTTTTTGAGTTTTGTTGGCCCTTTGATTTACGTAATTTCTGCACAATTAATTTCAAAATTTGGACATAAAAATCGTTCAAATTTACATTTATTATTTTATCTATTGAAATCAATTTTATTTATTACATACACAATTTTAACTTGTGTCGCATAATGGACTAATATAGTTCTGTTCAATAATTAAATTATCTCTGGCATATTTAAGTTTTCTAACTTATGTAGGAAAAATAGTTTCAAAACTTTCGGTTATTTTTATTAATTGTACTGAAATTATGTCTCTAATCAAAAAACATGTGGGAGGTTTCAGGGAGCTGCGAATTTTTTCTATCATTCTGTTATTTTCTTTATTCATTTATTTAAAAATTATTGTATAGTTTTCTTTCCTATAATAAATTTTTTTAGCTTCCAAAAGTGAAAACTCTTGGGAGAAATCGTGTAACAGGATGTAGATAAAATTCCCCAACCTCTTTACTCTATATCCAAACCTATTCAAAAAAAATTTACGTCTTTTCGGAGGAAAATCAGAACGTGCACGACGATTTTGATAGTTTCGTTTTTTATTAAATTTTTTAATGTTATTTTGCGTCAGTATTCCAGTGTGACATCGTGGCAACGTCACATCTCAGGTGCACCTGAGGCTTAGCGCAGTCTCAGGGTTTTGTTGTTGCTAGTAGTGCGATTTCTCGCATAGACTAGCGGGATTACCAATCGAAAATTATTTTAACTGAGGGGGACAGTGCCACAGAATCTATACTGGATTCCAATTGGGTTGGAATTCCAATTGCCATTGGATTCCAATTAATAGTTGTAATCTGAGAGCGCGAAGTACCCAGGGTCCTATCAATAGTAGTACCCGGTTTTTCTATCAAAATTGTACTCGGAGCCTATCAAAAGTAGTCTCCAGATACGGAAAAAGGGAACAATTTTTTATTCACGAGCTGTTTCTAAGATAGAGGAGACATAGATAAATCAGACAATTCTTTGTTTGCTCACTTACTTTTTATTAAATGTTTCGAGTTTCAAAAACAAGCGCGCTTCGTTCCGAACTGGCTGCTTGGCTTGATTCGCTTTTCTTGGTCTTCTTGGCTTCTTGACTGCTTAATTACTTGGTTGACTTCTTGGTTGACTACTTGGCACTACTGATCCTCAACTGATACTCACCCACTGGTACTCAATCTCCTGTTTGGGTCTTGTACAGCCCTTTCTATATTAGGTGGGTGGTTGGGTGGTGAGTCCCTCTCTTAGTCTCTCGGTTTCAGGAGAAGTGGAGCAGACAATGATATGTTAATTGCCTCGTTTATCTCTTCGGACTTTCCTCGCTGGGTTTTCGGGCCCTGATTGGAGCGGGGGCGTGGAGTAAATCGGAGGCACGGACGCAAGGGTACAGGTCTTGCGTCCGCTCATGAGATGGCTCCTCGAGTATCGTTCACAGCCAAGATTTACTCAAAATTTTTGTAATTATTGAATAATCGAAGTCGGAATAAATCTAATCGACCGTACATAACTGATACACTACTTAATACTAACAATAATATTACAATTACATTCGCCGCAAAATATAGTTATTAATAATTATGTAGTAATAAAATATAATAAAAATAGAGCGATGCTTGTTATCTCGCACGCTACGTTGTATAAATTCGTAGATTAATTTCTTATAATAAAAGTTCGCTAAGTAACAGTGAGTTTATTAAAATTAACGTATATTTTTTTATTTTTTCTATTTTCTGCTTAAACTAAGCTCCGGAGCGAAAACTCGATAAGAGGTTTCGAGAGGCCAAAATTATTTCCGTCATATTACTGAAATTAAAATATTCAAATTAAAAAAAAAAATATATCATAATTTCTAATGCTTAATTTCTAGTTTGAAAGGGAAAAATTCGTTAGTCATGATGAGAACAGGATGCAGACACAATTTTATGGCTCTTTTCTTATCGGTATCTCGGCGCCCACGTGTTCGGAGGCTGCATGCACCTTGTATGTAAGTGCGAGAGTGCGAGGGGCGGAAGAGCGTAATAAAAAAAAGGAATGACCGCTTATATGAATTTGGACTTTAGATTTTTATTGCTGTTTGAAGACTGTCAAGGAAAATTTCCCTGGGATACTCGACTCGGTTCCCACAGCTCATAAGAAACAGTTTTAACCGTCGTCGGTCTTCAAACTAAGAAAAAAATTATTCCCTTCTTTTGAAATCATACGGCTCGCCGTCACACCCCCACACTTAAACGATTGCTAGAGGAGTGCAACGAGGAAGAGCAATCGAACTTTTAATCCTAATTATAAGGATTTTGTCGTATCATGCTGTAATCAAAATGTTATCATTATATTTATATTCTATAACTTCGAAGATCTTGCTCTATTATAGAAGAAACCGAAACGATGGTTTAACAGCTTGAGATTGTGATGCTGGAATAGAATTATTCTGGTTGTGTTGTGCTATTTCATTTTCTTTTGTATGTAGAGTCGGATATAATTCCGTTTTGCAATCTTGATCTGAAGCGGTGACAATATTTGCTGGTGTTTTCACATCTCTCTTCATTTCTGTAGGCTTTGGTGCTAAATGTATCAGAAAGGTGGTTAAACTATTCCATATGGCTCCAATCAGATGAAAAGACCATCCATAAATGCTGTGTAAAGTTATTCCATTGATAAGGACTTCTAATAATTTTTTAGTGGTTCAGACAATTAGTATAATCCTAACTACACCGACACTAAATGTACCAAAGGTCATAAATTTCATCCACATTTTATTCCATGTATTGACTACTAATTGATCCATTACATTCTCGCTCATCAGCTTTCCAATTATTCCATTATTATTTTTTATGGTGTGTCCACGAATTTCTTAGGATACATCGTTTATTACTGCAGGTTGTTCCAAAGGGAACAGGATTCTCTTCATTAAATCTTGTAGATCCTTTTCTGTATATATTCCACTGGTGGCTAGTGAAGGAATATTCTGGTATTTCCAGGTTAACCGAGAGAAAGGCTTAAGAGTAGTGGGAGTTTTTGCTTCTACCTCTTTCAGAATCAATGCAATGTTCATTACCTAAAACTTATACCAATCTTCATTAAAATAAAAGAATGTGCGTAGCAGAGCATTACAATCAACTATGGTCCCATAAGCTTTTAAAATGTGAGTTTTAAGAGATAAAAACTTAGTATGATTGTTATGGATTACTTTCAATTTCACCTTCAATCTGGTTAGATACACCTTCATACAATATATGATACTAATTAAATTTACATACATCTTTAGGTATACTTTCCCAAAAAGTATATCCTCTTTCAGAATCAATGCAATGTTCATTACCTAAAACTTATACCAATCTTCATTAAAATAAAAGAATGTGCGTAGCAGAGCATTACAATCAACTATGGTCCCATAAGCTTTTAAAATGTGAGTTTTAGGAGATAAAAACTTGGTATGATTGTTATGGATTACTTTCAATTCGGCATAATATTCGTCTCTTTGCGATTATTTCACATCAACGGGTATACACTTAACGAGGTGTACTACCTCTCCTGCTGTTACAGCCATATATCAGAGATCTCTCATGAGATTAAAGGTAAACTGATCGAGGGATTGACTAGCAATTGCAAGTGCATTTTTCAAAATTTCTCTTTCTTGCTTACAGCGATGTACGACAACATCCTTGTACATACAACTTATTTGTACCTTTATATGATTTACGTACGCAAATATATCTAGGTTATTCAACGATATTTTCTTACGCAGGGAAAACGCATTATTTTTGACAACATAGACAAATAATTTTGGATGTTCGGTAACTATAATTTTATAACCACATAGATTACGTTTGGATTTGGATATTAACGCGAACGCGATGTCTTGTGTTACTAATGAATATAAGGTTTGTTCAATTTCACCTTCAATCTGGTTAGATACACCTTCATACAATATATAATACTAATTAAATTTACATACATCTTTAGGTATACTTTCCCAAAAAGTATATCCTCTTTCAGAATCAATGCAATGTTCATTACCTAAATTACATCTAACGCCACTGCGTAATATTATTTGGTTATTATCTAAGTCGACAAAAGCGGTATATTCTTGCAAAGTTACTCTTATTTTAGCTTGGACCACTACTAAATACCAACTTCCATAAGCATTGTAATAACTACCATCGTTACATTTTCCATTTTGGTCTACACTTCCTGCAAGTATTGCGGGTCTAACTATGGTTTTGTTAACTTTAATATCTCGAAACACATGCGAATTGTCAAAATAAAATGTACCGCTTTTGTGCAAATCATAACAAGTTTGTCGGCTTACATCCATTAAATATTCTATTGCTCCATTCTCTATTATGGAATTGTGTGAATGCATTCCACAATAATAAACAGTTCGATCTACTTGGACTTTACATTGAATTACTTGTGTAGTTTCATAATAATTTAGTTGTAACAATTGAATATAGTTTTTTGTTATGTTTATTTTTGTAGAAAGCACTTCACATTCTTCCACGTTTAATAAGGATATAGTTGTTATGTTGAGAGACCTTGCTCCACAGTCGTATCCTATGACTGTAACTGGGTTATCTATTATTAGGAATAGCAGTGATAATAGAAGAGTATACATCATGTTATAGTTCTGTAATCAGAAAATATTTCATTATATGTTCCTTTTGTTTGAGTGTTAAAGAGGTTATATTATTATCATTATTGTGATCATATTTTTATTTATGTTTGGTTTCTTTTGTTGGCTTGTTAATATGTGAAATTCGGAGTCTACTTGAATGAACTACTTTTGTGCCTTTTTTAATTTCTATTTTAATATTATGTTCTGGCAGAATACCAACTATTTTATAAGGTCCTGAGAAATGATCCCCGAATTTCCCTGGTTTAGGTCCTGATTTTAAAAAAACGAAATCACCTAAACTAAAATCTTTAGGATTTATATGCTTATCATAATATTTTTTTGATCGTTCTTTAGAACTAAATTTTCATAAGCTAATTTCCGTATACTATATAAACGTGCAACTAAGTCTATTATATATCCCTTATATGTAGGCAACGTATCGCTCTCATGAAGAGGATTACTTGAAGGCAATCTATCAAATACGACTTCATACAGCGTATGCTTGTTACTTTCTTGTACATAGTTATTGTAATTCAGGATAGCTAAATCGAGCCAATCATCCCAATCATTGTCAATGTCGGTGTACTGTTTTAAGTATTCAATAAGTGCGTGATGGGATTTCTCAAGGAAGACGTTGGATTGAGGCATAAATGCTGTAGTTTTCAATTTTTTTATTTTAAACCGCTTAGAAACACGCGTCATTAGCGAACTTAAAAAGTTTTTGCCTTGATCAGTAAGTACAGCTTTTGGGCATCCAAAAACACAAATGAATTTCTTGATGAAAGCGTCAGTTATTGTAGATGATAAGGTGTCTCGTAATGAGACAGCCAGGCAAAATTTACTTAATTGATCTTGCAAGGTTAAAATGTATTCATTTCCTTTTATGGTTCTTTTTAGAGGACCTACATTATCCATTGCAATTTTATCAAATACCATAGCGCAGTTATTGTCATCGGTTATTTGGTTTGTAAACGAGTGAGCTTTTTCAATTGGCATTCTAAACATTGTTGAATACGCCTTTGGATATCGTCTTTTAGATTTTCCTAGTAATACTCTTGTCTGATTCGGTAAAAGGTCTTTGAAACGCCACGATGTCCTCCAATCGGGGATTTATGGAATTCATAAAAGATCGCGTCTCGTTGTTCTAAGGGTACGTACGTTAACTCATCCATACAAATTATTATTTTTATTCCACTATTTCTAAACACACTATCTAATAAATTCAATATCTCTGGCCAGCTTAAATTTTCTATGTGTTTACTTTAAGCAAAACAAATCTCAGTTTGATTAGTATTAATTATAGCAAGTCTCTTAATAATTTTAAAGTACTATGTACATAATTTTTAACATAAGTAAGGGATTCTGGATGGTCTCCTCGTATACAAAGTTCAAATTGGTAATAGTTCGTTTTCTTCTTCTCCTTCGAAACTTCACCTACTCTCAATATTTGTTTACTATTATTTTTTTTCTTTTCCATCAGTTTTCGCGCACCTTCGTCAAAAGGCTGTCCATTGCTACTTATAAAGTGAGCAACATTGTCGTTTCGAACATTTGATTTTAACTATATTAGTGGGGTTGTTATTTTCGTCTTCGAATTCGTCCGAACTACTGTTTATCGTGTCTTTATCAGAATCATTTTCTTGTATATCATGTGAAGAATCGGGATGTACAGGCATTTTTGGTACCGCTCGTGCCTCACCTTCAAATTCACTATCTTCAAGATCACTTTTCTCGTAGTCTGGTATATCTTTTCGTATTCTTTGCGAATAACGCTTTGAAGCAACTTCATTAGTTGAAGGAGTGACAGATTCGACAGAAGATATTTCGGGGCGTGGAGTGACATTTGCACTATTATTGTCGACAGGGTTTTTTCGCGGTCTTCCACGTGGACGTTTTATTAGTTTGATCTTATTAGTTTCTTTATGAACTAACACAGGGTCAGATGATTGTTCCATTTGTTGTTTTTGCGTTCTAGTAACTATATTTACTTCAGGAATTCAATGAGTTTTATCTGCTTCGGTGATTACTGATATGTAAGTATTATTCTCTTGTGTTGGTATTTTCCATCTTCTAAAAGAAATGTACGTGTTTCCTATTTTTATTAACATTGTGTCAAAATTAAGACTTGCTTTACTAGAAAAAAGGAAATCAGATGCCTCCGCAATTCACAGGAAAATCATTTTGCACAATATAGAATTTCATTGGTATCAAATATTTTCAATTTTATTGACCCTAAGGTTCTATGAGTTAAACCATTAATATCTATCAGGTCAATTTGATCAGTCTCATCACGAATTCCTAAAACATATTTTCCCTTTATCAGACTCTGTTCAGATAAACTATTAATCATACACCGTGTCCATCCGTATTTTGCATTATATATGTTCAATAAAGGAGGTTCTTCGTCAACGAGGGGTGTATACAAATTATAAATTTTCCTATATTTCTTCACGTTATTCTCACTAATAATAGGTTTCACAACATTACTTTCGTTTATGCTATTGTTATTATAGTTTATTCTTGTGCTGGTGCCGTACAAGAAGTTTTTACCTATAATTCCGTGATATAGTATTTGACAATTTATGGCTAATTAAGCCTGGTCAAAGACTATTTAAGCCTGGTCAAAGGTTTAGCAATTTTCGCAAAATCTTTAATGAATCTACGATAATAACCACATAACCCTAAAAATTGACGTACAGGTTCAACCGACTTTGGTCTTAGAAATTCCTTCACTGCTTCAATTTTTTTCGGGTCTGGCTCTAGACCATTTTCACTTATTATATGACCTAAGTAATTAACTCGTCGCATCAAAAACTTGCATTTTCCAATTTGCAATTCAATCCTGCCTTTTATAATCTTTCAACCAACATTCGGAATTTGCGATCATGTTCTTCGAGTGCCTTGGCATATATAACTATATCATCTAAATACACGAACAGATCTAGTCTTGAAGTCCGCGGAGCAACGTATCCATTAAACGTTGAAAAGTCGCGGGCGCATTCTTCAAACCGAATGACATACGCACAAATTCATATTGGCCGAAAGGAGTACTGAAAGCTGTTTTATGCGCTTCTTTTGGGTGCATCTTGATTTGATAAAATCCCATGGCGAGATCGAGCACGGAATAGAATAGAATCTAGCACCTCCTACTTGGTGAAAAATTTGTGTAATGTTAGGTATTGGATACGAATCAGCAATCGTTTTTTCATTCAATCCTCTCATGTCCAACACCATTCTTCCATTACTGTCTGTTGCCTTAGGAACGATCAATATGGGGATGTTGTATGGTAGATTCTTGTATTATTCCAGCTTTTAGTAATTTTTCGACATGATAGTTAATCTTATCCTTTATAGCGTGGGGAAATTGATACTATTTACTATTAACTAGTACGTCATCGATTGTTTTTATCTCATGCAAGACAAGATTGGTTCACGGTAACTTGTCGCTATGGAGATAAAAAACATCTCGTACTTCTTTAATGAGGTTAATGATGTAAATCTTTTCAATCTCGTTTAGGTTTTTTAAATCTAAATAATCTTCTATGCTTTTATCTATACTATCCTCGTTATTTTCATCTAAAATTACGTCAACTATTCCTAAATCATTATCTATGTCTTCTATATCTAGTTCTTTATTAACGCTTTCTTTTGCAATACTACAAATGTGTCTTACGGCTGAATTAAACGGTACTCCAAAATCTATGGGTATTAGTTCGTTTAATATACTATCAAACTCGTCAGGTCTAAGCTGCACTTTATTGACTCGTGGTCTTGGCATGATTTTTCCGAGATCTCGTTCTAATAATAGAGGTAGAACAAAGTTTTCTCCTCTAAAATTATTGAATCCGAAGTCTATAATAGCTTTAGTTTCTTCGAGAAATAAAGCGTCTAGTATTCCTTCATAAGTCATTCCAAACGCATCATCAACTACATGAAAAATAGTATAAGTGTCAAATATCCTTATTTCGGTAGTACCAAGGGTTGATATTATTTCCTTTCCTATTCCTCGGACTCGTAACATCAATTTCGTTTCCAGGTGACAGAAGATGTTTTTTTATCCCTATTGAAAAAATCCAGCTGGAAATCCAGGCTGGATTTCCACATGGATATCCAGGTAGATTTCCAGGTGGATTCATATGGATTCCATATGGATTTCATATGGATTTCCAGGCTGGATTTCCATATGGATTCCAGATGGATTTTTTTGAAAATCCAGGTGGATTTATCAATCTGGATTTGACGTGAAGTAAAATTTCAAATAATAAAGAAATAACGTATTGGTTATCAGTATATAAAATTTTACTAATAGGTTCTATGGAGGATGAATTATAAAAAAAAAAAAAAAAAAGTGTCTTGACCAAGGCTTGAACCCGGGATCTTTATATTATCAGACTTGTCCTTTACCACTTTGCTATCGATGACTGTTGGGATGCATTCGTTTTCTTTCCTATATCACGTGCAACTTGAAAGTTGCGAATAAGCCATATTTCTACTTATTGTATTGTTCATCTCTGATTATATGCATGAGTTTCAAATTAAGGACGTCGTCTGGTCCATTTCAAATAATGACAGAATTTACTGAAACTCAAACTTATCATCGTTTGAAGTCTTCTGTACTCACACCAGTTTTTTTGGGACATATAGTATAGTACTACATAAAGAGAAATATGATGTTTAACATGTGCTCTTATGAAACGGCATCGAAATTATGCGTAAAAAAATAAGTGTACTTATGGGGCAGTGTCAAAACTATAAGAAAAAAATGTAAGCTGCTAACGCCGAGACTGCGATGATGACTTAAGAGAGCCTTCTTATAATAAGGAAAAAAAAGTAAAAATAATGAGCGTTAGACTCGCAGGGTACATCGGTTCTCGCAGGCTCTCGTGGTTTACCTGTCAGAGTTGTAGAGCTGTTACAGATTACGGTTTTCTTTCCAAAGGAAAAAAATTAAAATAATGAGCCTAAAACTCGCAGTGTATAGGGTTAGAAAAGAAAAACACTAATCCGAAATAACGCTACAACAGAGAGAGGTCAAACTCAAGAGCCAAAATCCAAGTACCCTGAACCCTGCAAGTTTTACGCTACATATTTTTTCTCACGCTCCCGGTGAAAAATAAAATTTTACGCTCGATATTCTTACACGCATTTTCCATTGAGAAAAAAAAATAGAGCCGACGCTACTCCTACGCCGGCTATTTCCGGGAGCCGATACCAAACTACCCTGGACCCGCCGAGTTTTACGCTCATAATTTTCTATTTTTTCCTGTAGAAAAAAAAACACTAATTTGAAACAACGCAACGACTCAGAGAGGTAAACCACGACAGTCATAACCCAAAAATCTTGTACCCTGCGAGTTTTACGCTCATGATTTTTACTTTTTTCTTAAAAAAAAACACTAATCTAAAACACCGCTGTAATTTAGACATGCAAACCACGAGAGCCAAAATCCAAGAACCCTGTACCCTGCGAGTTTGGTGCTCATATTTTTTTTTATATTATACCTAATATTTCGTAAGTATATGTTATATTTTCTGTAGGTATTTCTATGAAAGCAAATAATTTTTGAATAAATAGAGCTAAATTTCTTAAAATTTTGTTGTTGATCTTGATCAACAATTAAAAGCCGAGATCAAATTCTTCAGAGTGAACAAAATTTGTTCAAGAAGAAAAAAAAACTCGTGTAAAAGTCTGGAGCATAAAACTCGGCGGGTCCAAGGTGGTTTGGTTTCGGCTCCCGGAAATAGCCGGCGTAGGTGTAGCGTCGGCTCTATTTTTTTTTCTCAATGGAAAATGCGTGTAAGAATATCGAGCGTAAAATTTTATTTTTCACCGGGAGCGTGAGAAAAAATATGTAGCGTAAAACTTGCAGGGTTCAGGGTACTTGGATTTTGGCTCTTGAGTTTGACCTCTCTCTGTTGTAGCGTTATTTCGGATTAGTGTTTTTCTTTTCTAACCCTATACACTGCGAGTTTTAGGCTCATTATTTTAATTTTTTTCCTTTGGAAAGAAAACCGTAATCTGTAACAGCTCTACAACTCTGACAGGTAAACCACGAGAGCCTGCGAGAATCGAAGTACCCTGCGAGTCTAACGCTCATTATTTTTACTTTTTTTTCCTTATTTTAAGAAGGCTCTCTTAAGTCATCATCGCAGTCTCGGCGTTAGCAGCTTACCTTTTTTTCTTATAGTTTTAACGCTGCCCCATAAGTGCACTTATTTTTTTACGCATAATTTCGATGCCGTCTCATAAGAGCATATGTTAAACATCATATTTCTCTTTATGTAGTACTATACTATATGTCCCAAAAAACTGGTGTGAGTACAGAAGACTTCAAACTATGATCATTTTGAGTTTCAGTAAATTCTGTCATTATATGAAATGGACCAGATGACATCCTTAATTTGAAACTCATGCAAATAATCAGAGATGAACAATACAATGAGTAGAAATATGGCTTATTCGCAACTTTCAAGTTGCACGTGATATAGAAAAGAAAGAGAATGCATCCCTACAGTCATCGATAGCAAAGTGGTAAAGGACAAGTCCGATAATATAAAGATCCCAGGTTCGAGCCTTGGTCAAGACACTTTTTTTTTGTTGTTTTTTTTATAATTCATCCTCCATAGAATCTATTAGTAGAATTTTATACACTGATAACCAATACGTTATTTATTCATTTTTTGAAATTGTACTTCACGTCAAATCCACATTGATAAATCCACTTGGATTTCCAAAAAAATCCATCTGGAATCCATATGGAAATCTAGCCTGGAAATCCATATGAAATCCATATGGAATCCATATGAATCCACCTGGAAATCCACCTGGATATCCATATGGAAATCCAGCTGGATATCCATATGGAAATCCAGCCTGGATTTCCAGCTGGATTTTTTCAATAGGGATTAGATTAACTTCGGACCCGATATCTATTAGAAAATATTCTTTGGTTCTAGTTGATGGGTTCAAAACTTTGACCTTTGGAGAAACTTTTTGTATTGCATTAATATTAACTTCTTCTATTTCTTCTGTACTGTGTAAATAACAAAAATTACTATATTGAAGATTAATTATTTTCTTGAAATCGTATAATATGGTCTCCTACAATAAATTGCCGCGTTGCGAAATTTATTACAGAATTGCTTTCTGAAAAATATGTAGCTCCTAAAATTACTTCACAAGGTACATGAAAATCATCTGATACTAATTGAAATTCCATCGGTAAACCAAATATTGATAATGTAACTGTTCCTAATGTGATAATAACCTCTGAGCCTATTCCTTTTAGCTGTTTGCATTTAGTACTATTTATATGTTCTGTATAATTTTGGATCATTCCTATTTTCATTATGTTTGCTTCCGAGCCTGTATCAATCATAATTTGAAATTTGATATCATCTAAGAAATTTGCGTTAATTATTGGGACTTTAGCTGAAATTCTTGATTCATATTTGGTCTAGCAGGTTACTATAGACGTTTCATCAATAATTTTGCAAAAATTGATAAACCATTAACTAACCTACTGAGGAAAGAGCAGTCATTCATCTAAGGAAAAATTTCTCAGCAATAAAGGCTTTTCAAACTTTCAAAAAAAAGCTATGTGCACCGCGTGTACTCAAACACCAAGATTTCGAGAAAACTTTTTTCTCACAACAGACGCATTCAAAATAGGTATCGTCGGATCTCTGTCACATTTCGACGATAATAATCACGAGCATCCTATAGCATACATATTAAGTAGATAAGCAATGTATGTTCTGGGACACAAAGGAGCCGACAAAGGATGCCGCCAATGTATAAGGATACGTGTATGTTCTGGGACACAAAGGAGCCGCCCGATAAAGGTCTGAAGGTAATGACACCTTTTAATTTATGGTCAGACCCCATGGTGAGTGTCTAAAAGGCATTTGATGTACCTTTGACATCTTCCGCGTGCCAGTGGGCCCCATGCTGAGTGTTAAGGGGCATTTGATGTTGGTTTGACACCTCGCGCGTGCCGCCAATGTATAAGGGATATGTGTATGTTCTGGGACACAAAGAAGCCGCCCGATGAAGGTGTCGTGATAGTGACACCTTTTAATCGCGATAAGGTGAGACCCCATGCTGAGTGTTGCATTTGATGTTCGTTCGACACCTCCCGCGTGCCAGTGGGCCCTTCGAGGGGGCCAGTTTCCCCCCTCCTTCTTCGATAGTAGGACGCTTCACCCACCCACCCACCCACCCACCCACAGGGGATGTTAAGGTAGGATGCTGTAGAAGTCGGTAGGGTGTTTGGTAAACTATATGCTTATGCTGGCTGAGTGTGGACCCTCGGAGAGGGGGTAGCGTCTCTAGCTTGCTAGGCGCGTACGCCGTATAGTGCGGATGCTATTTTCACTCTCTCTCTCTCTCTCTCTCTCTCTCTCTCTCTCTCTCTCTCTCTCTCTCTCTCTCTCTCTATCCCTCTCTCTCGCTCTCCTTCGATAGTAGGGCGCTTCACCCACCCACCCACAGAGGTTGTTAAGGTAGGATGCTGTAGAAGTCGGTAGGGTGTTTGGTAAACTATATGTTTATGCTGGCTGAGTGTGGACCCTCGGAGAGGGGATAGCGTCTCTAGCTTGCTAGGCGCGTACACCGTATAGTGCGGATGCTGTTCTCTCTCTCTCTCTCTCTCTA